CCAAATAGTTGTGACCTTTTCGATAAGGCACAACAAACATTTGTTCACACTATCCTTTGTTGTCTATAAATAGAGGAATTTCCTCTCATTTTAAAACAACGAAAAATCTGAACTTCTTTTTCTTCTTCTACACAATTAAATATTCGTGTACTTTACACCTGTTGAGCGGCTCACTGACAAGTGACACCATTACTTCTGTTACAGATTCTGGTATTTTTTTACAGTCATAAATTTATGCTTATGTTATTAAGGATAAATGATAAGATGTTATAATTTTCATTTTCCTTTATATTATTAATGTTCGTTACTACGTAATCTTGTATGTAAAATAATATAGTGTTTTAGTTTTAATGACTGATAAATTTTAAGTATTATTTTATAAATTCCGTGATATTAAATTCCCACGCAAAGCGCAGGTAAATTTACTAGTAAATAAATAAAGTGGAACTATTAACATTCTTGATAAATTATCACTAATGATACCAAAAACAATGAGAATAATAAAAAGGCATAATATATAAACGTACCCTTTAATATAGATTCAAATGTCATCTACGCTCTTTAATTTTGAGTATATACAAATATAGCTAAATTTGTATAACACTAAACAAGTATACACAATGTCCTATGTGGCAATTCACATTTTATGTAGCGTCCTACATGTATTATGTCACTAGGATGTGTGTGTACTTGTGTACACACAAAATTGGATGACATAAATATCAATTAAGACCATGACACATTTATATATTATACCAATTAGTAAAAAGGTAGTCCATAACTACCTCATAACATAAAAAGATTCTCTTTAGCTGGTCCTAAAGTTAAAGAATCTATAAATATATCCATTCAAAGTATATATTTCCTTGTGCAATTTTTCAACAATTACCTTTATTCCCTTCATGAAAGCAAGTTCAATTTGTAATATTTTTAAGTTGTATCTTAGCCTTAAGAATCTTTCTTTTGACAATATCTGTCTATAAATATTTACACATTAATTCCATCATATAACATACATACAAGTGTGATTAAAACTATGGCCTATTATTATGCTTGCAATTTTCCTGATATATACTCTTGGATTCACAACTTACCACCAATTTCTAAATGGAAAACAGACTCTATTTCAATTTGCATTTCTCCTTCATGTTCATCTCAACCTTCCCTCAAACTCTCCATAGCTAAAAATTACCATTTTTCTATCGTCGCGGATTATAATCTTCCTATTTCCCTATGGACTTCAAAACCGTTAAGAATCAAACACAATACAACAAAATTATTAGACGACGAATCAGTATTCAATCTCTTGATCAATATCGTCCATGATGTCCTGAACTATGGTCCGAATAAAAATTATAACTCGTTGTTCCTCAAGATCCCACGAATGGATTTTAACAACTCCGATTTTAAGGAAATTTTCAATTTCTCATTTCTTACTTTGGCTTTCATAATTTGTATCTATGAAGCCCCTGCTGATCTTAGGTCCACATGTATTATTGCCCTGAAGAATCAATTTTCATGTTCGCAATCTAGACAAGCTTCAAAATTGCTCGTGAGGTTTTTGGGATCGAATATTGAAGAGCAGTGGATGCGTTCAGTAAATCTAGCGATAACTAATTGGATCCTGGAAATACATTCTTCTTCTAATCATCATGATCATGCGATGAAAACGCCATGTCCATTGTTTTCATACTCATTTTCGACACAGGGGCTATGGAAAGTTCAGCTGTATTGCCCTGTTATTGCAATGGAGGCCGAAACATCTACTTGTACTAGTTTATCTGATGAAAGTTTGAGGTTTTCTCTCAACTTTCATCAGCTTGAAGGAGTGATCCAATTAAATCATAGAGTTATTGTTCGAGAAAAGTGGATTGAAGTAATGGTGAACACCGATAACATTAGGTACATTTTTCTTCTTTGAACTAATTTTTTTTGGCGTAAAACTCATAAGTCGGTCAAACTAGCTTATACACTCTTCTTGATTTATTTACACGTTTGATGCTTATAAATACAGATCAGCAAGATTTCTATTATGTTATTCCAAATATTTTTCGAAAAATCCAAATACCTTTTCCATGACCAAACCCTTAACTCCATCTCCGTCTCCATCCATTTTTTGTCGTTTGTCCTTTTTCATGTAAAGATATTCTTATACTCATGTTTTTGCAGAAATGGACCAAAAATGCTCCTGAACTATAGTAAATAGGATAAAAATGACTTCCGTTTGGTTTTTGGTCCAAAAATGCCACTGAACTATTATAAATAGGACAAAAATATCCTCGTGGTTAGTAAATTGGCCCAATAATGCCCCTATCTCATTAAGTGCATTTCAGTTATTTTAACGGAATAGCTTATAACATTCTTTTACTAAACACACGCCTATTTATTATACAGAAAAGGCTCAAATATGCCACCAAACTTTGAGAAAAGGCTCATGTATGTTATCTGTTAAAAGTTTGGCTTATCTATGTATTTTTCGCTTGAGAAAATGTTCGAATCAATTGCTGGACACTTAAAAAGTGATTCTCAACACTAGATGCTTATGGATTACTTTTAATCAGATAATCCAAGTAGGATCTAATCTAATTTGAGTGAACAACCATAATCACAATTTCAAATATGCCACCGAACTTTGAGATACAGTTCATCTATGTTATCTATTCAAAGTTTGGCTCATCTATGTCATTTTCGTTTGAGAAAAAGTTTAAATCAATTGTTGGACACTTAAAAGTGATTCTCAATACTTGATGCTTATGGATTACTTTTAATCAGCTAATCCAACCCGGATCTAATCTAATTTAAGTGAATAGCCATAATTGCAATTTCTTAGGGAAAAAGAACCTAAAGATTGAATTTTAACTTGATGCTTATGGATTACTTTTAATCAGCTAATCCAAGCAGGATCTAATCTAAAGATTAAAATTTAACTTGATGTGAAAATCCTTATTGACTACTTTTAATCTACTAATTCAAATCAACTATAATATGACTGAACAAGAATAATTACAAACTTTTAGGGGAAAAAAGAACTAAGAGTGAATTTTAACTTGATTTAAAAATGTATGTTCATGTAGGTGTGATGTTGTTAGGCTAGTGAATGAATCACTAATGGCAGAGAGAGGAGCAGGGGTATCAGAGAAGCATTTCCCTTCAAGAATCTCATTGCAACTAACTCCAACACTTCAATCCAATGTGTTGAGCATATCAGTAAACAAGTCCTCTGACAATCCCTTAAGAGAAATTGGCACCGAAAAGACCATTGAAGCGGGATTCGATCCACCAAACACTTACATAGGCTTAAAAGTCTCGGCGGGAGAGACAGTTGTTACGACCATGAAGCCATGGAAATTTGAGCAATCTGTTAATGGAGATGGTGCAAATTTGAATTGGTTTCTTCATGATAGTGGAAATGGAAGAGAGGTATTTTCGTCGAAGCCTTCTGTTTTTTCATTAATTCAGCCAAAAGCTTGGTTCAAGAACAGATATTCAAGTGTTAATAGGCCTTTTACTAAGCAAGGAGGGGTAATTTTTGCTGGAGATGAATATGGGGAAAGTGTGTGTTGGAAAGTGGATAAAAGGGCTATAGGGAAAACAATGGAATGGGAATTGAAAGGGAGACTTTGGTTAACATATTGGCCAAATAAACATATAACTCCTTATGCTGAGACTAGAAGATTGGAATTTAGAGAAGTGCTTCATCTCAACCTTGCATAGTTATATTTGTTGTATTGATTATCTCTGGATAGACTGTCTATGATAATTATATCTTCTTCAAGTGTGTGTGCAGGCTGTTCAACTTGCTTGAATGTGAGATGCTTCGTCTGTTTAACTGGCCTTTTTATTGATTATCAAAATGTATTTGTGTGTTGCATAGTTATATTTGTTGTATTGATTATCAAAATGATGCTTCCGTCTAAGGTAGGTAGGTTGTCTACATCACAACCCTTGAGGTGTGGCTTTTATATTACTAATTATTGGTATTGTTTTTTTCTCAATAACGCCTTAAGACAACTAGTACCAACTACTCGACTTAAGGAACCAAGTTCCTTAGGACTAACTGAAACCATCAAGGTAAACAACACGAGTTTTACCATGGAAAACCTGCTTGGTCAAGGGAGTTAAAAACACGACCTAAAAGGTGTAGAATGTCAGCAACTTTCACAAATTTCAAGGAGCGGTTTCAGATTACAACTCTATATTACAGATCTCGTTTAATTTGTCCCAGTTGCTCTACCCTTACACATATCACAGATAACACCCTTAACCTTATCAACCTTAATACACCTACAACACCCAAAATTGTGATGCCTCTCTGATTGCTCCAACTCCACCATCACAATATCCATGCCCTCTCTTCGTTCAAGGGTTTATGGAAGTATAATTGTAACCTCTGTCCAATGATGAGTGTCTCCTCCACCAAAACCTTGTCATTCTCGTCCTTTAATTATGAACTTCACTTAATCCAGGTCACATGCCCTCCATTCTCTCGCCTTGTATGGCCTGTACCACTCTTTATCCCCATCATTGTCCTCTAATCCAACATACATGAGTTCCAAAGTTGTTGTCTTTGCCATCGTAACCACTTACTTCACCTCCTACTTGGCCACTCTATACTTTTCCACATTTGTCCACTTTTCCTCCTCTCATCCTGACTTTCCACCAACTTCGTTTACGTTACCTTCTTAGCCTCTACCTTTCCTTGTACTTCTCCGTTCCATCATATCACCATATCCATGATGTCACCCTGATCTACCTCACAAGACCCCCAAAACCTCGAAAAGTACTACACTCTTGTCAAAGCAAATGTAACTACGTATTCTCTCTCCCCCCCCCCCCCCCCATTGAACCATTAACAAATTTAAGAGCACAAAATGTCAATTCCTTTATTTTGGTGTGTGAGTACATGGAAACAGAGAACAAAAGAAGAAAAGGCTTCATATAATGTGAAAAAAAAATTATTTGTCACAAACGGATTAGAGTATGCTTCTTTGTTTGCAACATTAAATAGCTCCATCATACATTTCCTCAAGACCATGCTTGTACTTGAATCCAGTCTCCAAAAGCTTTTTGGATGAATATCTAGGGCATGTAACTTCTTCACTACTTGCCCATGTGTACCTGCAAATTAACATTAAATTAAATCAAGTATATTTTTTCCATCTTTCATTTCCAGAATAAGCATTTACTAATTAGACTTATAATACCTAGATATAGGAAATGAAATGTATTTTTCTTAACCCCTCCCTAGAAATTCCTTTTTTTTTTGCTTCCTTAATGACTCCAACCCGCAATCTTACCTTCTAAACAACCTCTCTTGTCATAAATTGAAATATGCATATCGCGTTCTTTTGAATACTCAAAATCAGAAAGAAAAAAAAGTATATAAGATAGCATAGGTCATACAATTAACTTTTTCCGGAGTACATTATGTTTTAACAGTTAATTTTTATGAAAGATGATAGTACTATATAATAGGGAAACTAGAAAGAAAAGAAAGACTCAATTTTTAAATTAACAAGAAAATACTTACTTCAAGTTTTCTTATTTTCTTATTACCTTATCTTATGAAAAAGAATCAACAACAATATTAAAGAAAAGGCAAGTATTTATACTTACTCATTAATTTGTTTTTGAAATTCAGGATATCTAGTCGAAAGAAACTCAGCTAGCTTTTCACGTGTTATTTCAACAGTTGAACAAATATATCTTCCTTTTGCATTAGGATTTTCAAGAAGGAAAATGTGAGCATTTGTCACATCATCTACATGTACAAAAGGTACATATGGAGGGTAACTCATGTTATAATTTTGATGACCTGCACAAATTTTTCCAATTACGATTAAGTAGAACATATATACGTTGAGAAAATGAAAATCTATGATATTTTAAGACGTACCAAGAATCATTTCCATAGATGAACGAACAGAGCCAGGAATTTGAGGAGTAATAAAGGGGCCATGTATCCAAGTTGGGATTACAGTCACAAGATCGATACCATTTTTTTCAGCGAATTCTAGAGCTGTCTTTTCTGTTAATGTCTTACTAATCGTGTAAGAACTTGCAAAGTTCTTTAAAGCTCTTACAATGTCTACGTTTGTCCATGAGTTTTCGTCCACTATGTCTGATGAATTCTCAACCATAACCGTAGTTGAACTAGAAGTGTATATAACACGTTTAACTGTCTTTGAATTAAGACATGCTTGTAAAATACCTAAAGTCCCATTGATGGATCTTTGTGTAATTGTTTCTTCACTTTCTTTGTTCTCAAAATCAACTGGATGTGCAACATGAAATACTCCAATGCATCCTTCAATTGCAGCATTGAAACCCTCTGGTTTGTCTAAATCAACGTTAAAAATGTGTAGTCTTTCTTGAGCACCTGGAAGATTCGTGAGGTAGCTCACATCCTTCTTGCGATCTAGCAATGAAAAAAAAAGAAGGAAAAATTCATCGTCATGAACTTAAACGTATTTATTTGGCGTAATGTCCTACTAGACCCCTAAACTTGCACTACTTCGTTTAACCTTAATCGTGCTTATGTGGAAACAACAACAACAACAGCATACCCAGTGAAATCCTACAAATGATATTTAGGAAGAGTAGAATATACGCAGATTTTATCACTATCTCGTGAAGATAGAGATGTTGTTTTCGAAAGACCATCAACAATGACGTGATATATGAGGAAACTTTCATTTTAACACCTCAATTTAAACTTGCAGTACTATGGGGGAAAGGAGAAGTTCACTTGTAGAGTTAGAAATTTAAGAATGGAAGGGAAACTTTTAAAACTTGTGGTCCAAAATGAATGATAGAAATTTGTGTGACTATAAATCATTTCATTAAGGATAAAATAGACATTTTATAATTAAATTGTTACTTCTTTGTTTTTGGTTAAAAAGGTAGTAATATATATAGTGTTAATGACAAAGTTAAATTGCTACTTAATATATAAATGTGTCAATCTTTTTGGGACCGACTAAAAACGAAAATAAATCACATAAATTGGGACAGAGGGAGTAATAAAAAATAATTTTAAATATATATAACAATATAATTTTTTACTGTAAGATATTTGAAGCTTGTTGGTGTTTTCATGTCTGTTCATGTTATTTTCAACCATAATTTATTACAATTTCTGATATATTCACCAACAGAGCCCTACTTAGGCAAAATCAAAACGCCTATTGGTAAAAATTATGGCATATCATCAATCCATCTTCATTAAAGGCCAAAATCTCATGAATTGTATGATTTTGCCTTTTCTTCCACTAAGGACTAAAAATGATGTACATCTTCACATAAAGAAGAAGTAAAAGAAAGCAAATTCAAGTATTGTAAATTGTAATAGTAACAAACCTGGATGAGATCTAATTGTGGTGTTAACATAATAACCAAACTGAAGAAGTCTCATAACCATCCATGATCCAAGAAAACCACTTCCTCCTGTTACACATACCTTTCCCTTCTCCTTCACTTCTTCCATATCCCCTCTATTCATCTCTTCTTTCTTCTCCTCCTCTTTATATAGTAAAACTATCAAGTTATATGTTGTTAATTATTTTTCTTTTGTTGACATATATAAATTGAATAACAATAACATCCTATAAGGAGAGTCTGGAAGGGTAGGATGTACGCACACTTTATGAAGTAAGAATGAAACAATGCAAATTTTTAATGAAAAAATATAATATTTTCTCCGTTCATCACTTTTACTTGTTCACTATTCTAAAAAATAAATTTTTATTTTTACTTGTCACTTTTAAGATATCAAAATAAATAAATTATTTTTTCCATATTTTACCTTAGCATTGATTATTTATTCTCCAAATTATTTTTCAAGACCTAATACAAAATATCAATTAAAGAAATCGTGTGGTAAAATAATATATCAATTATTATTTTCTTAATAGACATGCCAAATCCAAATGTGACAAGTAAAACTGAACAGAGAGAGTATAAAGTTAGAATAAGAACCGTTGACTCAAGAATTTGTGTTGCTATAACGATAATGGAACAGTATTACGCTGAATTTGTAAGTTGATATAATGACGAAATAGTGTTGAGCTCCTTAAAATAATGATAACTTGTTGCAATGCTTGAAATTTCGAACAAGACACCAAGAGACAAATTATCATCTTTTTGTAAACAAACAAATTAAAAATTAATTGCTTGAAAGACTTTGGAATATTCAATAATAAGAATAAAAATAGTGAGAGAGAGAATGAAAAAAGTAAAATATAGGAATAATATTAATGCGTGTCCATGTTAGTTGTACTTCTATAAATGAAACAATAAAATAGATAGCCACATAAAAAATAGAGAAAATTTTACCTATAGCAAATTAAAAATTGCTAATTGTATGCTATAGCAAATTTTATAAAATTGCAGTCCGTAGCAAAATTTTAGTTTGCTACGGATGTGTCTTTTTGTATATTCGCTAGTCAGTCTTTTTTTTTTTATACATTTTGATTGTTTTAAAAAATAAATAAAAAGACGTGTTAATTTAATTTGTGTATGTAATTGTTTATATATAAATGTATATGGAAAATGTGTATATAAACGCTTATATGAGTATATAATGGGAATACGTATATATGTGAATAACTGAAGTTGCTAGAATTTGTATAAATATATGTTCTGTTTGTTGTTGAAATTCTTAATCGTATAAATGTATATGCATATATAACTTATTTTTTAATATAGAAATTTTGAAAATGGCTTCATTAGCTATTTTGGTTATGCATTCCGGTAGATGGGACAATGACAATTGTTATGTTGATTATACAATTTAGGGGGTGATTTTTAAAGAAAGTTCATCGTATAAGGAGTTGTATAATGTTATTGCAATGCAACTCGGTGTTGATACAAATGTGATTAAGCTAAAAATTGAGTATAAGGTTAGAGAAAGCAAAACGCCAATGTTGATTCACATATTAAAATATATTAAAATAGACACAAGTGTATAAGTGTGAGCAAATATGTATGTTTAAAAGAACATTATACAATAACTACTAATATTATACATTTATACAACCACAATTGTATAAGCAAACAGTAGAAGACATGAATCAACACAAAAAAATATAAAAATAATGATTATATAGTCCAATGACCCACATGATTATACAGTCCAATGACCCACATAATTATACAGTCCAATGACCCACAAACAACAACTTCAGTTTTATCATTGTGATCAGTATAAACGTCAGTTTTATCTTTCCTTTTTTTACTTGACCCAGAAATAAGTTTATGAGTGTGAGCAAATGTGTATGTTTAAAGGAACATTATACAATAACTACTAATATTATACATTTATACAACCACAATTGTATAAGCAAACAATATAAGACATGAATCAACACAAAAAATGTAAAAATAATGATTATACAGTAAATGACTGAAAAAATTAAGTTATATATACATATACATTTAAATTGAAAAAAATTAACAAAAATTAATAGAATGAGATGAGTTTTGGCGGTATCTAAAATTTTTGAAGTAATGTTTCTCTTTTGAAAACGAGACGAGGCTGGAGAAATTTGTAATTTTCAATTGTATTTGGGGAGAAGATTTGGGAGAATTTGAAGGAAATAGGAGAAGAGATTGTATAAAAGAAAGGGAAAAGGAAAAACGTTAGTTTTATTTTTTTAATAAATTATACAAATCGATGGGGCCCTATAATAACAAAGTGACCGAGATTTTGCTTATTAAAGGACATAACTGAAACGGTAGTTAGTGCATTTAATTAACATTATTAATTTGCCATTCTGCACAATTATCCCTAAAAAATAATACACATAACAATTATTTTATCCCTCAATTATATATTACCATTATCCTCACATTAAAAAAAAATATATATGTTATATTTTATAATCAAAAGTTTCTTTTCAATTTTTTTTTTAAAAGTGGGCCCCAAAGGAGTGTTGTAATTGCCTTATGGTTGAGCCCACCCTATCTACTGAAGTGGATAAGATATATCTCATTTATTACCAATTGCGTTCATCTCATAAAATAGGCCACACATCCAACTAATGTGAAAGAAATGTGCTAAAGGTTGAAACATCATATAATTTAAATTACGAGTTCATATATATATTTATTATAGTAATTTAATATTTTTTTATACATAAGTTTATATTTCAAAGTAAAAGTATTAAGTTCTGATGATCCGGTCATGAATGTAGTAACTTGAGAAACAAAAATATTTAAAGCTTTTTTCTTTTAAATTTTTCTTGTATAACATAACCTAATTGAACTTTCATCCTCAGTTCATTAATTTTATTAAAACGTAAATATGAAAAAAGAAAAAAAACATTCAAACGATACTCTTTCTATGATCCTTACATATTTACATTATGAATGTAAATTTATGCAATTTAATAATACATAACAATCGAAATAATATATTCATCTTAGATTGCAAATTATTTTAAAAATCAATTAGTTTTTTTTAAAAAAAAATCTTTAACACTTGTTTTAAATTGTCACTTTTGATCGATGTACACGAATCTTGAAAATTTAAAAATCCTTGTTCTTTTATCCATTTTTTATATTTATATTTTATGACCAACAAATAATTTTATAATAACACAATGAGAACTAGCCAACTTATCTTAAATTAAGTTGTAATATGGAAAAATTAGACAAAATGTTGAGTGTATCAATTTTTTTTATAAATATTAACTCAATAATTATTAATTACATAAAATAGTTATTCAGTCACTTTCAATTTAAGTGTAGTGCTTTTTCACTATTGATTTTCTTTTCTTTTTTGTTTTTTTGTTTTGCCTTCTTCTCTTCTCTTCCTCCTTATAATTTCTTTGTTGATTTCCTTCTTCTTTCCTTTCTCCATCTTCTTCTTTTATATTCAAAGCTCGACTTTAAAAGGTGATGTGCATAAATGTGAATCGCTTAGAGTGAATAATACTTCAAAAGACTCAAAATATTGAGAAGCTCATATCTAAATTTGGGAGTACTGTATGTTTAGAGGAATTTTGAGTTGGTTGAGATTTGAAAAGAAAAAAAAAGTTTGTAATGTATACTTTATTGTATCAACAATGTATATAAATGTGTATATATCTACAATACATAGTTATACATCATCTATACACTATTTACACTATTTATGCAATATTAATATATTATATAGGCAAAATGGTCTGGTGGACTCTTATACTTGTATCAGTTTGTATTCTGAATCATTCTACTTAATCATTTGTCAACTGAGCCCTTATACTCAATTAAACCCAGACTTTTAAGCCCCTCCAACCATGTGTGTAGCTCACTCTCTTTACATAAATGACATGTCATATCCACGTAAAATTTATTATTAATGCCATGTCATAATTATCGCATAACTATTTTTTAAAATTATTAATCAAAATTATTTAATAAAAGGTAAAATAATAAAATTTTAATTTATTCTTTAGAGTACTACTGGCCAAACATTGTAACTCCGACGAACTTCACCATTTTCTGTTCAACTTTTTGGTGAACTTCATTTCTCTGATTTCATGTTCCGCATTTTCATATGTTTTTATGTGTTTTGTTTGATCTATTGATATGTTTGTTTAATGAGCGGAAATAATGGTGAGCTATATTAATGGAAAAAATGAAAACTACATACATCCAATTCTCCCCACTTTCACGGCCAAAATTTACGGAGAAAGCCATCATGCCGTCGTCGCCACTTTTGCCGGCGAAATGACATATACTCTCTCCCTCACATATCTACATCTCCGCCGCACACCATCACCATTTTCCTTTCCTCCTCCAACCTCCACAAAACCAACAACCTAAGTCATCGCACCATCAGATCTGGCCAAAAAACCTCTTCGCCGCCATGACCTCGCACCCTCACCCACTTCGTTCTCCTCTACATTGACCACTGCCACCTCTTTCTCTCTCATTCCACTATGAAACAATGGTTTTCGGGGTGCACCACCAACGTCGCTTCTCTCTCACTTCACTGCGATTCAGTGCTCCGATGAGTACCACCAGTGCCGCTTTCTCCCTCCGCGGTGAATCAGTGGACTCAAGATGTGCCCAAGATCTGGTAAATTGATCTTAATAGATTGTGAAGAAGGAAAAAAAAAGGTTGGATTTGGGATGAAAATGGCTGAAAAAGATAGGATAGTGGGAGAAGAAGAAGGAGTTTTTTAATTAATTGTTTTTTTAAAAAATATTTCTTTTATAATTTTAATTTTTTTAAACCCAAAAATGTCATTCACTCTCCTTAAGAGCGTGTAGTTACACACGTTTGCCAACTCAGACATTTTAATGCCACATAAGCCTGGTCAATGGTCAGAGGGATTTGTTAAACTGTGTTTTATTGAGTATAAGGGCTCAGTTGACAAATGATTAAATAGAATGGTCCAGAATACAAACTGATACAAGTACAAGGGTCCACCAGACCATTTCGCCTATTTTATATATATATATAAATTGATACACTATATATACATATCAATACATTAT